GCGGGGGGGTATTTCACGGGGTCCCGTTCGCGGATAATTTTGTGGGGAGTCTAGGCGGTTTGGCCCATTTCTGATACAAACATGGTTCGTTTCGAACAGATTTGGAGGAGTCTCAGGCGATTCGCTGCGTCTCAGCACTCGAAGGAGGGGCGGCGGGGGGGATTTCACGGGGTCCCGTCCGCGAATTTTTGTGGGGATGTCTCGAGCGGTTTGCCTGTTTTCTGTGCCAGCATCTTTCGTTGTCGGAGCAGATTTGGAGGATGTCTCGAGCGAGGCGCTCATTTTGACCTCCCAGGTGGGCCAGATGTTGAGGATGTCTCGAGCGGTTTGCTTGTTTTGGTGGCCAGGCTCGTGGGCGCAGATTCTTCTCAGGATGCCACAGGAGGCTCCCACATGCTCCAGGAGGCCCCAGGAGACCACATGAGGTCCCAGGAGGCATCAGGAGGCCACAGAAAGACTCAAGAGGCCACAGGATGTCCCAAGAGGCTCCAGGAGGCCCCAGGAAGCTCCAGAAGGCCTCAGGAAAACACAGGAGGCCCCAGGAGGCAACAGGAAGCGCCAGGAGGCCTCGGAAGGCAACAGGAGGCCCCGAGAGGCCCCAGGAGCAGGAGGCCTCAGAAGGCAACAGGAGTGGCTCCAATCCCATGTGTTTACGTATGCTCCTATCGATTGGGCCTCACCTGGAGCACGATTCTTTGATGTTCTACGTATGTTTCTATAGATGGTCCTTCTCCTGTGTACACAATCCTAAATGTTTTACTCATGTTCCTATATATTGGGCCTCTCCTGGGGCACGAGTCCTTGGTGTTTACGCGTGTTCCTATATATTGCCCTTCTCCTGTGGCTCTAATCCGCAATGTTTTATGTACGTCTGTTGCTATAGATTGCGCCTCCCCTGGGGCACGAAACCTTCCTAGGAGGTCCCAGGAGGTCCCAAGAGGCTCCTGGAGACCCAGGAAGCCCCAGTAGGTTTCAGGAGGCCCCAGGAGGCCCCAGGCTCATGCACAGAGACGCGCTCGTACTACTGAGGCTCATTCACACTCCAATTCATTCGCAGTTAGATTTATGTCCAGACCGTCACAACTGAAGCCCGTGTATATTCGAAAGCTCTTGCGCCTAGACATTCACGGCGGACAGGTCCATGCGAATAGATGCACATATGGGGAGCTCCACGCAGTGAATAATTGGCAGACCGCGCCGGAGGAACACAGGAACACCCTCACCTCCTCTGACTCACTCATCACTCAGACTCACTCATCACTCGGACTCAGTCATGACTCAGACTCATCTCTCATCACTCAGACTCACTCATCACTCAGACTCACTCATCACTCAGACTCACTCATCACTCAGACTCACTCGTACTTGTACTCATACATTCACTACACTCACTCAGGTCCACTCATCGGATGACTCACACACACACACACTGATGTTGAGGATGTCTCAGGCGATTCGCTCGTCTCAGCACTCTAAGGGCAGCGGCGGGTGGGTATTGCACGGGGTCCCGTTCGCGGAATTTTGTGGGGATGTCTCGAGCGGTTTGCCTGTTTTCTGTCCCAACATCCTTCGCTTTCGGAGCAGGTTTGGAGGATGTCTCGAGCGAGGCGCTCATTTTCACGTTCCTAAGGGGAGCGGCGGGGGGGTATTGCACTCGGCTCCTTTCGCGGGATTTTGTGGGGTTGTCTCGAGCGGTTCGCTTGTTTTCTGTCCCAACATCCTTCGCTTTCGGAGCAGATTTGGAGGATGTCTCGAGCGAGGCGCTCATTTTCACGTTCCTAAGGGGAGCGGCGGGGGGGTATTGCACTCGGCCCCTTTCGCGGGATTTTGCGGGGATGTCTCGAGCGGTTTGCTTGTTCTCTGTGCCAACATCCTTCGCTTTCGGAGCAGGTTTGGAGGATGTCTCGAGCGAGGCGCTCATTTTCACCTCCCAGGTGGGCCAGATCTTGAGGATGTCTCGATCGGTTTGCTTATTTTGGTGGCCAGACTCGTGGGCACAGACTCTCCCCAGGATGCCACAGGAAACTCCAACAGGCTCCAGGAGGCCCCAGGAGACCACATGAGGTCCCAGGAGGCATCAGGAGGCCACAGAAAGACTCAAGAGGCCACAGGATGTCCCAAGAGGCTCCAGGAGGCCCCAGGAAGCTCCAGAAGGCCTCAGGAAACCACAGGATGCCCCAGGAGGCAACAGGAAGCGCCAGGAGGCCTCGGAAGGCAACAGGAGGCCCCGAGAGGCCCCAGGAGCAGGAGGCCTCAGAAGGCAACAGGAGTGGCTCCAAGCCCATGTGTTTTACGTATGCTCCTATCGATTGGGCCTCACCTGGAGCACGATTATTTGATGTTATACGTATGTTTCTATAGATTGTCCTTCTCCTGTGTACACAATCCTACATGTTTTACTTATGTTCCTATAGATTGGGCCTCTCCTGGGGCACGAGTCCTTGGTGTTTTACGCGTGTTCCTATAGATTGCCCTTCTCCTGTGGCTCTAATCCGCAATGTTTTATGTACGTCTGTTGCTATATATTGCGCCTCTCCTGGGGCACGAAACCTTCCTAGGAGGTCCCAGGAGGTCCCAAAAGGCTCCTGGAGAACCCAGGAAGCCCCAGTAGGTTTCAGGAGGCCCCAGGAGGCCCCAGGCTCATGCACAGAGACGCGCTCGTACTACTGAGGCTCATTCACACTCCAATTCATTCGCAGTTAGATTGATGTCCAGACCGTCACAACTGAAGCCCGTTAATATTCGAAAGCTCTTGCGCCTAGACATTCACGGCGGACAGGTCATGCGAGTAGATGCATGCACATATGGGGCTTCCTGGGGTTTCAGAGTATCTTGGGGACCTCCTGGAATCTAGAAGGTTTCGGGCCCCGGAGAGGCGCATCTATAGCAACAGACGACCATAAAACAGATAAAAACATTGCGGATTAGGAGCCACAGGAGAAGGGCAATCTATAGGAAAACACGCGTTAAAACACCCAAGGAATCGGCCTAGGAGAGGTCCCAAATATATAGGAACATGAGTAAAACATTTAGGATTGTGTACACAGGAGAAGGACCATCTATAGAAACATACGTAGAACATCAAAGAATCGTGCTCCAGGTAAGGCCCAATCGATAGGAGCATACGTAAAACACATGGGATTGGAGGCACTCCTGTTGCCTTCTGAGGCCTCCTGCTCCTGGGGCCTCTCGGGGCCTCCGGTTGCCTTCCGAGGCCTCCTGGCGCTTCCTGTTGCCTCCTGGGGCCTCCTGTTGTTTCCTGAGGCCTTCTGGAGCTTCCTGGGGCCTCCTGGAGCCTCTTGGGACATCCTGTGGCCTCTTGAGTCTTTCTGTGGCCTCCTGATGCCTCCTGGGACCTCATGTGATCTCCTGGGGCCTCCTGGAGCCTGTTGGAGCCTCCTGTGGCATCCTGAGAAGAATCTGCGCCCACGAGCCTAGCCACCAAAACAAGCAAGCCGATCGAGACATCCTCAAAAGCTGGCCCACCTGGGGGGTGAACATGAGCGCCTCGCTCGAGACATCCTCCAAATCTGCTCCGAAAGCGAAGGATGTTGGGCCCAGAAACAAGCAAACCGCCTGAGGCATCCCCACAAAATGGCCGCGAACGAGCCCGTGCAAACACCCCTGGCGGCTCCCCTTAGGGCCACGAGCCTGGCCACCAAAACAAGCACACCGATCGAGACATCCTCAAAATCTGGCGCACCTGGGGGGTGAAAATGAGCGACTCGCTCGAGACATCCTCCAAATCTGCTCCGAAAGCGAAGGATGTTGGGCCCAGAAACAAGCAAACCGCCTGAGACATCCCCACAAAATGGCCGCGAACGAGCCCGTGCAAACACCCCTGGCGGCTCCCCTTAGGGGTGCTGAAACCAGCGCCCCGCCTGAGACATCCTCACAATCTGCTCCCCAAGCGAAGGATGTTGAGCCCAGAAACAAGCAAACCGCCTGAGACATCCCCACAACATGGCCGCGAACGAGCCCGTGCAAACACCCCTGGCGGCTCCCCTTAGGGGTGCTGAAACCAGCGCCCCGCCTGAGACATCCTCACAATCTGCTCTCCAAGCGAAGTCTGAGTATGACTAATACTGTGTATGAGTAAGTCTGGGTATGAGTGAGTCTGTGTATGAGTACGTCTGGGTGTGGGTAAGTCTGTTTATGAGTAAGTCTGTGTATGAGTATGTCTGAATGTGAGTAAGTCTGAGTATGAGTAGGTCTGAGTATGAGTAAGTCTGAGTATGAGTAAGTCTGTGTATGAGTAAGTCTGAGTATGAGCAAGTCTGAGTATGAGTAAGTCTGAGTATGAGTAGGTCTGAGTATGAGGAAAGAGGAGGAGGGGAGGAGAAACGAAGAGGAGGGAGAAGGAGTAGGAGGCGTCCAAGTAATAACAAGAACCCCATCTTAGGATATGGGGAAAAAGGGCGGGAACGTTGAGTCAAGGAGTCGCCTTCGGGGGCCTTCGTGGGGGAGCGGATGCAAGACCAATGGCATGCCACCGTGGGGCGCTCACTGCCGTTTTGCGGTGGAAGAAACACCACACCTTCGAACCAAAAGCGAACGTCGGATTGGGACGCATTGGCGCGGGATCGGATAATCGGATCGAATTGCTTGCGACAGGGTGCACAGCTTGGGCCCTGAGATCCGAGGTCACGAAAAAATGACAATCTGGTAACAACAACTCAACTGGATCCCTGGACCCCATCTTTCTGCAGCACTCTTCGAGCCAGGTCGATCCGTGAGGGTCTCTGGCCCGAGACAGGGCAGACATCTCCCGCTGCGAAGAAACAAGATGCGAGGCTGGGATCTCAGGGTAGGATCCTGGGCCTTGGAGGCCCCCGACTGGCAGCAACTAAATTCGGCCAGGCTGAACCCGGCCGGCTGATGTCGGCCAGGCTGACATGGGCCCGGGCCGAGTTCAGCTGGCTGAGTCTCGCCTGGCCGAGCCTCTCCCTTGTCGAAGGTACACCGCGCGCGCGCACGTTTGCGCGCCCCCCCCCCCCGAG